GGAAGGGTCTCCCATCAAAGGAGTCCAGGAAGTGATCTGGGAACTACAGCATGTTCAGAAAATCCTGATTGGTTCCCACTGATGGTTTCTGGATCTCCTCCCAAACAGGAGGAGTTTATTCTCTGACCTCTGACCTTTAATGGTCGCCCTCAGAGCGCCGGCTTTATTCTCCACCTCCTGCTGAGTCATGGTTCCCCTGCAGCTGGAGAACTCCTCCATGTTAGCTCCTGGAGCTCAGAGCTAAAGCCGAACGAGGTGGTCTCCTCCTCCTCCTCTTCCTCCTCCTTTGCTTCATCTTCCTCACAGGGAGAGCGTTTCTCCAAACTGCCTCCAGGAGGCGCCTCTGAGCTGTTAGTATTTTCTTCCGGCCACAGGGAGGACCTCCATGAGAACAAATGAATGTTTTTGTCCCTTCCTGGGCCCCATAGAGCAGAATGCCAGGGTCAGCACGGCATCCCTACTGGACAGCATGGTGGTGGCAGCATCATGCTGTGGGAAAGCTAAGCTGCATCAGAGACCTGTGGCCTAGTCAAAGCCTGGAACCGCATCCAGCAGAGTCTGCGGTGGTGGAGGCTGCTTCTAAAGGCACTCCACACTTTCCAGATCAGGCCTCCTCCTCAATCACGGCGGTTACCATGGTAACAGCTGCTGAAGCCTGGTGGGTTTAGTTTTTGTGAACCGACCCGGTTTGTGTCTGACGCTCAGCTGAAGGAGTCCAAAATGGCGGTGAGCAGCATCGGGCCGCTGATCGACGAAGAGGAGGAGGAGTGGGAGAGGGTCAGCTGGAGCGGAGAACCCGTCGGCAGTAAGTCAGCCCCCACCGCCGGGAATCCTGCGCCGTGATTGGCCGCTGACTGTGGTTGTCGTGTCGTCAGGTATATCATGGTCCGTTAAAGAGATGGCGGCATCCAATCAGAGAGCAGACAGAGAGCCCGCCTTCCCCAAGATCTCCACGGAGACGCCGTCACTCAACAAAAGCCAGTCTGGACTCTCTCTGAGTTCTCTGTTCAAAGGTGAGAACCTGGCGGCGGGGGCGGAGTCATGTGACCGAGCCGCCATCATGTGACTGATTCTGCTCCATCTGCAGGGAAAGGCCGAGGAGGAAACCTGCAGAGCTTCAGCGACAGTGAGTCCGCCATGGCGCCGCCGCGTGCAGCGGGGGGCGCTCTGACGCTGACCCGCGTCCAGCGGGGGGCGCTCTGACGCTGACCTTTCTCTCTTTCAGTGCTCGGAGACTCGGCGCTGCGGCTCTACACACCAGAACTCCGAAAACCCAAATCTGAGTACAAGGTAATCTGATTACAGCTGTAATCTGACTGTTGCCTGTGATTGCTGATGATGATGTCACCCGTCAGGACCTGCTCAGCGATTGGACGCCTGAGGAGACGGTTAAGCGGCTGCAGCAGGGGAAGGTGAGCCTCCGGTCTGACCTCTGGCGCCGCCGCTGCCGGCCAATCAGAACCACTTCCTGTTTGTGTCCCGCAGGCCGTGTCTCTGGAGAAGTTCCGCTCCCTTCAGGACAAACTGCTGCTCCTGGATCTGGCCGTCGCCGCCCATGATGGGAACGCCATCACCGCCGTAAAGTTCTGACCCGTCGCTGATCATTGAGCTGTTCTGACCCGACCCAGTGACACTCCTTCTGTTTGCTTGCAGGTTCTGATCTTTCTGAAGAGGACTCTCTGTAAAGGTCCGTGTCCGTTTGCTGCTCCCGCCGCCGCGGCTGGACGCCATCTTTTCACGCTTCTGCTTTCTCTGCTCAGAGGTTCTGTTCAGAGAGATGGAGTCCAGGCAGACGGCGCTGCGGCACCTGATCCACCTCCTGACGGAGACCCGGGAGCAGCGGCTGCTGCTGGAGCTGCTCAGGTCAGGACTCGCC